TCAAACTTGATTGTGATGGAGGGCCTGGCTTTGAAAGCCGTGTTCGCCGGCCTGGAACGACATTCATTACCCTTGACTAGTTTCGACAGCAGGGCAGACACTCACGAATTCCGGACACACGCCTGACATATGTTGGAGTCACTCGACAGCTAGCTAGTAAGTCAGAGCTCTTGGCAACTCGTTGCTCCTGCATTCCCTTACGGTGACCTGCGAACGATACGGACAGTCAAAACTTCTGAAAATCGAGGAGGAATGAGGCAGAGCGCCTTCAGTATAAAAAGTTCCGGGAGAGGATAGCCCCATATGATCATTGTCGATATCACATTAGCTAAAGCGAGAAGTGCAAATTGCACGCGGCAGCATCCAGACGATCGATGGTGAATAAGCTCCCAAGTGAAACCTCCTCACTCAAGGCCTGAAATGCGGCTGCCATGTCATACGCCCACTAATTTCATGGGCCAACCCATCTTTTAAATCTACATTCTTCCTATCTTTAAGACACACGACGACTCTCTATTGCTGGGTTGTGATGTAGGCAATGTCTTATAACGTCCCGGCCTCGATTTAGTTATTTCGAGAGGCATTCATTGCCCTAGCCAATGAGGCGCCCCAATGGAATTGCAAGGCCAGGCAGGGTCCACGACAGATGACGTTGTGTGTGCAGATGCGTGAACGATCCCTGTAAGCTAGGTCGTTGCGCTTGTCAGCTGTCGAAGTAATCTTGTCAGTCTGCGTCAAAAGGCGAGTCCAATAGCAGCTTTTCTCTACGATCTGAGATGCGTGCGTGGTGTTTTCTTTCCTCAACTGGTCAGGGTGTCATGGGAGTTGGTCATTGCAGCATGGGGGGCACGGAATGTAGTGCCGGCCTGAGCGAGGCGTGGCTTGAGCTGCGATTCAGGCATTCCTTGTGATCCCACCACGGCGCATTCATCCCTACTGAAAGTCTCACTTGCCCAACTGTCGGATCGCAGCATGGGCGAGGCTGTCGAGAGACCAAGACATTAAGAAGAAAAAGAAAAGAGAAGAAAAAGGCTAGCAAGGCATTCCAGATACACCCTTCTCGAGCTCACGTCAGACAAAACTCTGTGCCAGCAAGGTTTCGCATTGGTCACGTCGGTATGCCACGTTCTGGCGTAGCAAAACGTGTTTTCCTTCCTTTCTTCGCCTCCGTCCGAACCTTGGAGCGTCGACCAGTAGGGTAGGACCAGAGACCCTTCTTGCGTTGGGCGGGTTGGAGACCCCGGAGTGCCCCCCCAGGTTGGTGGTCTGGTGACACAGGCTTGATTGGTCGCCATCAGGAGCCGTCCGAATGCTCGCTGCAAACCTCGTCACGTTCGCTGTTGCCGGGAGGTTTTTAGCTCAGCCAACCCCGCATTCATTGTCGTCATACTGTCTAATGGGCGAATAGGCAGCCCACCGCGGATGGATGAGCACATGGGCACCCTCGCGCACACTCGCGCGCGCGCACCCAAGCGAGGGTGGACTGTGCTGAAGCTCCTCCCGCGCGAAGGCTGGCGGGCCCCCCACTGGCCTGGAGATTGCCCATTCCACGGTTCGTAGGCACTGTTCAGCTACCTGGGCACCTACCTAGGTACCTACCTAGGGAGGTAGGCAGGCCTGAGGATTTCCCATCGAGATTTTTTCTTTGCGCCATGTCCCGATGTCCGTGTCTCCGGAATCCCACCCTCGAAGGAAAATCAAGATTGCAGGAGCCACGGGAAGAGACGCCGGCGCTGCTATTCTCGGCGTCGCAAGGGAAAGGAAAAGGGCATGAAAAAGATTTTCATCCCAATATTGAGGGAATTGTCAGTTCCTCAACCCTTTTACTCAATGCGACGAGGTGTTGCCGCGGGATTATTCGGCGTTGGTTGCGCCCAAAGTGGCGGCTGTAGACGCATCTCGCCCCGACAGGACGATGAAGAAGCTCGTTGGGGCAGTGATGGTCAACACGAGGCCCCTCGGACCCAGCGAGAGAAAAAAAGGCTTGACAACCTCGACAGGCTCGACAAGCTGGAGGCCCAGACTTGTATCGACCAAGAGTCGGCCGGCTGGAGTGGATTCCCGCCATGAATGTAGTTGCTCAGCGCCCAAAAGCCCCGGCTTGAAATGGCTCTCGACCCCTGTAGGATACCCACCATGATTGTTCCACGCTTAGTGCAGCCGGACAGCTTGCCCCCCCCCCTCCCCTTGGCCTTCAAGGGCCCCCCGGGTCGATGCCATTGGATCGGGAGGATCGAGAATTGGGTCGGCCAGGAGCAGATAGTCAGACAATGAGGTGGGCAGCAGCACCGACGTAACAGTGGTGGCAGGCATACTCGCACACCACCACCACAGCCGCTCACTACCTGCTACCTGCTACCTGCTACCTACTACTTGCTACCTGACGCCGTTGCTCCCACAACACGTCCTCGTCCAGCTGCATGCACCAGGTGCTCCCGACGGACCCTCCGCTCACTCTTCTCTCTCACCACCTTACCTTACCCTTCGACTGATTCTGTCTGACATTGGCTGCTCCGCGGACATCGTCCCCATCACCCTAAAACCTGCCCTCTCCCTCCCCCGCAACCCGCCTTCCTCAGTTGGCTTTCCACCTCTTCCCACCTTGCTTGTGTCCTCCTACAATCGCACTCGAACCTGCCACCGCCCCTCGCCACGGCAGCTACCGAAGCATCAC